TCAAATTGGCCCCTTTTCGAGAAATATGTGAACGTTCCATGAAGAAAATAAAACAATTATACGTACCTTCAAAATACACAACTATAGATGACCAGCTGGTTGGGTTCAGAAGGCGATGCCCTTTCAAAATGCATATCCAGTCCAAACCAGACAAATACGGGATAAAGATAGCCACATGACATAGTCATCATAGTTAGGAGTCCTTTTCCAGGAAATATCCCAGTGACTTAGTATTATTGCGAAAAATTCACTTCTTCTTTTCGTGGAGCCAATACAAACTTAACTATGCACAATTGATTCACGTCGATAGACACAGCAAAAAACCTTTGAAATAGAAAATTATAGTAGTGGCTACTCTCAGAAAAAAAATAAAAGGAGATTTCTCCATCATTCCTAAACATAGAGACACAGCCAGATTCTACAATGTTCTGCTATAATGGTCAAGTGTGTGATTATGCTATCAATAACGCATGGAAGAGGCGATGAACGAGATTCAATACTTCTCTCAGAGATCATTCAATTTTGTAATAGTACTAAAGGGGTGTTACACGCTAGACCAGCTATGAATTGTCATTCATATTCATGTAGGAGGAAAACTCGCCTTTCTGCTTATTTTAGAACTTACTTAACATAACCGGATACAACTCTATCGCACTGTTTCGAACTTTGAGAAGGGACAGAAAGGGGCATTGATAATCATCTTTACACACAGTCGGACCGCCCTAAAAGCAATTCAGACCTACACGCGTGAATCTGCATAAATCATAGAATCTACCGATAACCTGAGAAAACTCGCCAGGGGTAATGAAGTTATCCTATGATGGGTTCTAAGTCACAAAGACATTGAGGGCAATGAAAAGGCGGACAATTTGGACAAAAAACTCGACTACAAAAAAGCCTAAGTGGCTCGTAATTAGGTAAACAGGTAATTCATCATGTGAGGTGTCAATGGTAGCCTTGTGTTGAAAAAAATTCCAAGGCACAGACAGGCGAAAAGTATGATAAGTTCATCGCAAAAAAAAACCATAGAGGTTTTATGCCTCAGCAAAGGGCACCTAAGGTATTACACTATCATAACTGTAAGTCATAGATCTATTATCATATATCTTTGATGAAAAATATTACAGTGTAATGTACCAAATATTATAATAGTTTAAATATGATCATATGATTATAACCATATGTTCTCGTCAACAGAACATATGATATTTGGCGTCTGAGAAGTCCAATAAACAATAGTTGCCACAAAATAATCAAAATAGTCAAAAGTAATGACATTTGAAACATAGTATACTGCAAAATAGAATAGGATTGACCAGTTGCTGTGAATCTAAGTGTTACAATAGGGCAGTTCCATGCTTATACTGTTTCAGAAATGAATATTTTTCTTTGAAATCAATTTGTATACTTTAGACACCAAGAAACAAAAGCTCTCCTCATCCATTCTTAAATAGTTTTCGTAATGTTTTAAGTCTTCACTTTTCAGTTCTCTCAAGAAATGATTTTGAATTTCCAAATTATTACGATTTGCTACCCAAGGCTTAATCCACACCCGTTTTTCCTTCTTTTTACGTTGCTTTTTCAACAATAAACATATTGTAGTTATTGAACTCAAACAGGCACCAAAACCAAAAAACTGTTGTTCATTCATTTTGTATAATAATGTGACGTGTAGTGTTCAGGTGTGTTGATTGACCTTAACGTTTTTGGAAGCTTACTGATAATTGCAATGCCTCAATTAATACATCCCATTCCAGATTGATTCTATGAGCAGATTTTGTTTGATAGAAATTTACTATCACATTGACAATCGAAACAGAAAACGTATTAATACACCATATAGTATCTAATCTAGTACTCTAGCATATCTAATCTGGTGAATCCAATTAACCCAACCCAACCCGATGTTATTTGGCTGTAATTTTTTTACAAATGAAGAACACAAATATTTGATAATAGATCTATGACATAGAACTGTGATAATATAATACCAGCCTAAGGTCGCTCTCAAGTTTCCTAACCTCACGTCCCTAAACTACCTTCTCTTGAACATTGGCCAAGTTCAGGATCAAACTTGTCGAATATATTCTGTGTAACTGCATCGCCAGAGGTCGCTTGAAACACATAATTTTTTTTGCCTTACACCTATTAACATAACGGAGCAAGACTTTGGAGCAATACTAAGGTTCATCAAAGACCTAGATCTCCCTAAACCTTTAGAGGGCGTAAATTACAATAGATATTATAGGTCGCGATTTATTTTAGTTTTGCTTCTCTCACACAACATAACATAACCCCATCTTGGATTTTGAATCCCTCTTCTTTGGATTTGATTTTTTGATATATTTTTTGAGAAAGCTAATCACCTTCCATTATTTTCACTAAAAATTTTTATGTATGATTTATTTCATTATGATGATGGTGTTCTCAATTGTTTCATAATTAGATTTATTTGACCGTGTAAGTGTATTAATTATAGAAATAAGTTTTTTTTTATGTAAAATATTTTTTTTAACATATGTGTAGATTCGGCTGAGGATGACTGTTTAGTCGAAACCGGTACCGAGGAAATTTAATAAAAAAGCAAGAAAGAAGTTATTTTTCTTTTATTTCTTAATTATATATAAATCTTGCAACATGGATTCTATCACAATAATAATATAGGTTCTATCGAGAGGGAGTGCTGCAGATGATAAAGGAATATTGCAAAACCAAAATGTTGAAATTGTAACTAAAAAATTTGCCTTAGACCTACTTAAATCAGAGATATTAAGACGTTTGAAAAAGCAAACCTTAAAAAGAAAAATTCGTGAAGCTATCATTAATATTTTATATGTGCCATATAGTCTTTGGGTATTTTTTCTAGTTTATGTATGATTTAAGTACTGTTTTATATTATTTTGCAATAAAACACTGAAAAGAGTCTATTTTTATTTGGGCTACACCTGTACCCTAAAATAGTAGACCCGTTAGTGCAAGTGTAGCATTGCAGGGTTCACGAAAACTTTTATTTATAGTCTCTTCATTGAACCTGTTTTTGTTGCCAGGTATAACCTTGTTGCCAAATTTCGTATTTAAGTCTTCTAAGATTATGAATTCATCCCTTTTCTGTACTCCAGCCAATACAGTTCGCAAGTTGTAGTAGAATGTGTCTATCTTTTTCTTTGTTTTGTTGGTGTACTGATACCTTACTGATATTTGCAATACCTCAATTAATACATCCCATCCCACATTGGTTCTATGAGCAGATTTTGTTTGATAGAAATTTACTATCACATTGACGAGCGAAACAGAAAATGTATTAATACGCCATATAGTATCTAATCTAGTACTATATCATATCTAATCTGGTGAATCCAATTAACCAAACCCAAACCGATGTTATTTGGCTGTGTTTTTTTTAGAAATGAAAAAACTTTGATTCTGCTTTTGGATTATGTTTATTTGATGTCTTAAATTTTTGGTCATTAAGTCACGAAAATTATTTCGGCCAAGTAGCCGCTACCAGAATTGATGTCAATAGGTTCTCGCATTCTTGGCAGATATTCTCTTTGAGGGATTCAACAGTCTGAGGTTTCACGATTTCAAAAAGCCTTACAAAGAGAAGTCTGAAATAGTTAAATCGGGCGATCTTGTCGGCAAGTGCAAATCGCCAAAACGAGAGATAAGGCGACCCGGAAATGCAGCCTTCAGTATTTCGGTCGTGGCTCCTGCAGTATGCGTTGTTTCTATATCACGTTGGAACCACATGTTCTGTAGTCCTAATTCATCCAATTTAGTACTGCTCTCCATAGTAATCGTTTGGCCACAGCCGCGATATTCCCAGCAGAATGGCTTTTCCGAGGCCGGCCAGACCTGGCAGCATTTCGTATTGTCCCATACTGTTCAAGGAGAGTGGCTAAACGCCGCAGTATTTAAATGAAAGAATTATTGCGCTTTCTTGAGGAGTATAATGATCCATGTAACGTGTATTTTGTATCAGTTTATTTCACAAATATCAAAGCAGAATTGACATTTGCAAAAATTGTAGCATCTTACGATAGGGTGATGACTTTTGCACCACCTTGTAGAACCAGTCATACGATAACCACACCAAAACCAGATAAAAAGCAACACAACCAATAAACGCAACTATATGTTAAAATGAAACTTCACCAAAGATTCAGATCGATAATTACTGCTCCTAATGGTTGAAATTATTATCATCAATAATCATCAAAATAATAGTATCATTACTATAGATAGGGTTATTGGTATTGTTCCATCACTTTTTGAACTAAAAATTCCAATAATAGATGCAATTTTATAAATAGTAAAACGTTTTTCAATATTTCCGGTATCATTAAAATATAGTTAATTCCTTTTCCATTTGTCGTGCCCTTCAAATATTGACTAATATGTTTTCATTCGAATTAAATCGATTCTTTTGTAATGACCTCCACGTGTGTATATTTTAATAATTTTATTTATAAAATGTGGCGTTAATCATATCGAGTTATTTTCGTTTTCAATGCCAACAATCAGAACAAATAAAAATTTGTTCCGATTTTATTTTTGTTAAAATGTCAAAGAAATCAAAGAATCATGTGATACTTTTTCATATTAATCAAAAAATTCTTTCTATTTATAACTTAATAAAAAGATTTGATAAATCTTGGCCTAGTTTTGATATTATATCGAAGTGGTTGGGCTATCGAAAACCTTCACACGGTGAGCCATTTTTCGTAGAATTAAGGGGTAGTATATGCATAATTCGAAAGGGCAATCTTTGTCGTGCTACTGAACTGGGTCAAACGAACCCCATCGTCGTACAAACCGGCCACCACCAATGCCAATATCGAGACAGAAACGATCGATACATCGATTTTATATAAAAATAAAAGATGCAGCTGTAATTTCGCAAATCCGGAAATAAAGGATGAAGACCTCAAATTTAAACGATTTTATTCAATTTTTGATGTATTATATTTTTTAATATATTAATTTTTGTTGTGTTAAAGGAAGCAGCTAAAGCTGTTACAGCAGTGACATCTTTTAATTATGGAAAAAGGCCACCGTATGATATAGATTCAGGATTCTATCATAGACGTAATCAAATCGCTGGGTTCTATAGATCAAGACGCGTCATATGGGGACCTGAAGAATCAAGATACACTGAAGATGCTGATAAAAGTATTTAAATTTTCAATGTTTGTTTTTATTAAAAAAGGAATCAATAAATTCTTAGTATCATATCTTAAAGATTATTTCTAGTCTAAAGAAAAATACTCAACAAGACATCATCACCAATTAAACATAAAAATATCTTAAAACTACAGTAAAATCTCGATATAACGGATTAACACGGGGAAGGTAATAATAGCCAACAAATAATAGCATTAGAACTAACACTAGACAGCTCTAGATTGTTGTATATTTTTAATTGAACTAAAACTAACACTAGACTTAGAACTAGAAACCTCCGAGTTTAGCCGTCTTAAGAGACGTTCGGCTAAACCCGAATGTTCCAAGTTCTAAGTCTAGTGTTAGTTTTAGTTCAATTAAAAATATACAACAATCTAAAGCTAAATAACAATTAAACTTCCACATACATCCAATAGCACTACAGTCCAATTCGAACCTTACCCTCTTCTTTTTTTCTCTATCGCTTTCCAATTATGCACCTGTAGTATGGTTCATGCATCTGTTTCCATTTTTTTCCACCAGCGATCACCTGGCCTTCCCACTGGTCGTCTGCCTTCAAGTTCCTTCAGATGCACTTTTTTGGCCACTCTTGAAACGTCCATTCTTTCTATATGACCCGCCCATTTGAGTCTTTGCAGTTTTATATACGATGAAACGCTAGTTTCTTCAAAGAGTCTTTCTCGAGTCAGAATCTTTCTCTCGAAAGCATCTAGGTTTGATTGGGCCTTTTGTGACAGCGTCCAAACTTCACTACCATAGCATAGAGCTGGTCTTATAATTGTCTTATAAAGCTGTATCTTTGTTACTCTATGGACGTTTCCAAACTTGGAAAGGTTGGACAGGACGTAGTATATCTTATTTGCGTTGGTAATTCTTTTGCGTATTTCTCTCATTTCGTCCTGGATATTAGGTATAGTCGTGCCAAGAGACACAACTTAATACAAAACTTCTGGAAAAATTCCATCTAGCATGCATTAATTAATAGCATCTGTTAACGGTTTTGCTATTTCGTCTCGTATAATCTTTTCCTGTTCTTTTTTACGTCTTTTCTTAGTATCGGGTACTTCTTTTTCAGGAAATATACGATTGAACGAATTTATGAAAGCGGTATGGAACGAGGAATAACCAAGATGAGCATCTGGCCATTGCGTCTCACGAAGACTCTGATTGAATTCAAGCATTTTCTCTGTTGTAATTAATCTTATCTTTTTCATATTTGTAATGTTTGTGATTTTTGTTGTTACTTTAGCAATCTACGCAAGATGATCAGATAAGTGTGGATTTGTAGTTTTTCCCTCGATGTTTATTAAATCTGTAAATATATTATCTATGCAGGTTGCGGATCCTCGTGATACTCTAGAAGGACTGGAAAAGATGCCTTCCATTCCAAACATATTGAATATATTATAAACCGCCATGGAATCTTGGTTGCTATGCATAAAATTTATGTTAAAATCTCCAGAAAGTAGCACTCTATAGTTAGGATACGTTTCTGCAATGTATACCAGGTACCATTTCAGTTTTTCCTTGAAGAAGGTGATCGATATAGACAAATAAAATTAATGTTATATTTTTTCGGGGTTACAGATGTAATTTCTATATCCTTTTCCTCACAGTAATCATCTGTACTATGCACTGGCGTGGACTGGATTGAATTTTTTATTAATATTAAGACACTGCCATGCTTATACTGTTGTCTACAGAAGGATGATCTCAATATATTCATTGTTGAGGTGTCCAGCCAATGTTCAGTGATACATGCAACTTCGATATTTTCTAATTCTATAAAGCAGTGTTGTCCACTAATTTTTGATCAAGATCGACTTTTTATATAAATGTCTTGCCATGATCGACCGAAGGGTTTAAAGTAACCTTCCTTTTTTTTGCTCTGAAGCCCAGATATAGATATTTCAGATTCATGATTTTTTTGGCAATCAACGTTATGGTCACCACTGATTTAGAGCTTATAAATAAAAAATGGTAATAATTGGGTTCAATCTTGTTATGGATTTAGTCTTTATGGCCCATTACTAAGGTTTTATGTATAAAAAGTATTTCCCCATCGCTTTTAGTTTTTGAGTTATAATTGAGTTAATTTTCGAAAATCTACAATTTTGATGTTTAATCGGTTTAGAGCTTATAAATAAAAAATGGTAATAATTGGGTTGAATTTTGTTATGGATCTAGTCTTTATCGCCCATTACTAAGTTTTTATGTATAAAAAGTTTTTCTCCGTCGCTTTCAGTTTTTGAGTTATGATTGAGTTAATTCTCGAAAATCAACAATTTTGATGTTGAATCGATTTAGAGCTTATAAATAAAAAATAGTAATAATTGGGTTCAATCTTGTTATGGATCTAGTCTTTATGGCCCATTACTAAGGTTTTATGTATAAAAAGCTTTTCTCCATCGCTTTTAGTTTTTGAATTACGATTGAGTTAATTTTCGAAAATCAACAATTATGACGTTTAATCGATTTAGAGCTTATAAATAAAAAATAGTAATAATTCGGTTCAATATTGTTATGGTCTTTATGGCTCATTACTAAGGTTTTATGTATAAAAAGTTTTTCTCCATCGCTTTTGGTTTTTGAGTTACGCTTGACTTAGTTTTCGTAAATCAACAATTTTGATGTTTAATCGGTTTAGAGCTTATAAATAAAAAATGGTAATAATTGGGTTCAATCATTTTATGGATCTAGTCTTTATGGTCCATTACTAAGGTTTTATGTATAAAAAGTTTTTCTCCATCACTTTTAATTTTTGAATTACGATTGAGTTAGTTTTCGAAAATCAACAAATTTGATGTTTAATCGGTTTAGAGCTTATAAATAAAAATGGTAATAATTGGGTTCAATCTTTTTATGGATTTAGTCTTCATGGCCCATTACTAAAGTTTTATGTATAAAAAATATTTACCCATCGCTTTTAGTTTTTGAGTTATAATTGAGTTAATTTTCGAAAATTAACAATTTTGATGTTTAATCGATTTAGAGCTTATAAATAAAAATGGTAATAATTGGGTTCAATCTTTTTATGGATGTAGTCTTTATGGTCCATTACTAAGGTTTTATGTATAAAAAATATTTCCTCATCGCTTTTAGTTTATGAGTTATGGTTGAGTTAATATTCGAAAATCAACAATTTTAATGTTTAATCGATTTAGAGCTTATAAATACAAAATGGTAATAATTGGGTTCAATTTTGTTATGGATCTACTCTTTATCGCCCATTACTAAGTTTTTATGTATAAAAAGTTTTTCTCCATCGCTTTTAGGTTTTTGAGTTATAATTGAGTTAATTTTCGAAAATCAACTATTTTGATGTTTAATCGATTTAGAGCTTATAAATAAAAAATGGTAATAATTGGGTTCAATCTTGTTATGGATTTAGTCTTTATGGCCCATTACTAAGGTTTTATGTATAAAAAGTATTTCCCCATCGCTTTTAGTTTTTGAGTTATAATTGAGTTAATTTTCGAAAATCAACAATTTTGATGTTTAATCGATTTAGAGCTTATAAATAAAAAAATGGTAATAATTGGGTTCAATCTTGTTATGGATTTAGTCTTTATGGCCCATTACTAAGGTTTTATGTATAAAAAGTATTTCTCCATCGCTTTTAGTTTTTGAGTTATAATTGAGTTAATTTTCGAAAATCAACAATTTTGTTGTTTAATCGATTTAGAGCTTATAAATAAAAAAATGGTAATAATTGGGTTCAATCTTGTTATGGATTTAATCTTTATGGCCCATTACCAAAGGTTTTATGTATAAAAAGTTTTTCCTCATCGCTTTTAGTTTTTGAGTTACGATTGAGTTAGTTTTCGAAAATCAACAATTTTGATGTTTAATCGGTTTAGAGCATATAAATAAAAAATGGTAATAATTGGGTTCAATCTTTTTATGGATCTAGTCTTTATGGTCCATTACTAAGGTCTTGCCAAGATCGACCGAAGGGTTTAAAGTAACCTTCCTTTTTTTGCTCTTAGGCCCAGATATTAGATATTTCAGATTCATGATTTTCTTCAGATTCACTGCTACAAAGTTTAATTTAATTACATCAATTTTATTTTTCATTGATTGGACATTAAAGTTTAGAAATTGTATTGTTTCCGTTTTATTTAGTGAAAATTCATTGTTTTGTTTTTGGTTTGAAGCTATATTGTCTTGCTGATCCGCGCCAGTCGTTCTAAAAAAGAATTAATTGCTAAACCTGCTGGCCAGAAATCAGGGCTTGCTATTACATCACTCCCGTCTGTTGGTACCGATATTTTAAAAGATGAATATTCATCCGGGTACTTGAAATGTAATTTTTCGCAACGTGCATTTGTAGCATTTTTTGATTTCAAATAGTCTAAAATTTGTTCAACAGTTGTTTCATTATCAAGGCGATACACGTGGAAATGCCTATATTTCATTTTCTCTTTCGTTGTTTGATAATTTTTTACCATTTTGTTCTGGTTCTCTGAGCTTTGTGTATCTAAATCTATCTGCCATTTCTCGTTCTCAGCTTCCTTTGATGCTGAGGTGATGCGATTACTTAGTTGAATACATTTTTCAATAATGTTTGGCGTCATCTGTTAGGGTTCGATTTAAAATAATTAAGTTAAGTACGGTCCTGGAATAGTGAAACACCCTGTATAGGTGAAAATAATTTTAATCGATGCGGCTTTGACGGTAATATTATATGATGACATAAAAACATTTTTTTTATTTTTAACAGTAAAATCACTATCTTCCGTCCCCGCACTATTCACTCACCCTGTATAATATCAATAAGATGACTTAAAAATATTCTGTACGTTATATCCGAAGTCCGTTCTAACGAGGTCCGTTATATCGAGATTTTACTATATTTGATAAATCATGCCATTCCAAATCTTTTCTATTTTTTATTAATTTATTTTTTGTTTTAGGACATAGATTGAAAATCATGCAGATCATAAAAAAAGATTCTTAAATAAATGAAACAAAAAAAGCATGGTACTAATGAGTACTATCCAGGACAAAAGCTAACGAACGGTTTCTTTTTGAAAACGAGCTTTAGAAATGCATATAACACAGTGATAATATAAAGGGCGAAAGAAAGTAAAATAAAAGGAGGAGGCGGTGTAAGGATTTAAAAGGGGTTTTTGAGTATAAAGACAGCTTTGGAAATGATGCACTCACCAAAGTTTGTGCAGCAGCTTGGTGCTGGAAAACAACGAAGCACAACGTTTAGTAACAACAACAAACAACAACGTAAAGTTTTATTTTTTGAAGGCGAAAACTAAAACTTAGTTCATACGCTAAAATAAAAATTTAAATGGTTTCTTTGTGTTCGAGGAAAAAGTAAAATCATCAAAGTGAAAAGTTACATAAATATTTCAATGCAACAGCTTGATATTCAAATTTTGAAGGTTATAATTTGATTTGATAGTTTCATCTTTATTGTTTCGATTTTATCATACGAGATGTCGCAAATAAACAGAAAACTTTAAAACGATAAAGCCATGTAATATCATTAGGGTCACTAAGACTCCAACAATTACGTTAATTTAATATTGTACTTACTATAATATTGGTGTAAACTTTTCTCTCCTTATGTCGATAAGACGACGCGGTTTGAAAATGTAGTGTTTCTTCTACTTCTCCGTCTACTCGGTACTTTACCTAATTCAATTTAAATATTGAAAACGCTTGCTCCATACAATTTGTAATGGTTATCCGCAATGTCATGTTGATGCAAAATTTATATGCAATGAACACAACTGTGTTGAAACAAACGCTATCTTGTCTAAACCATTCATAGTAGAAGCAAGTATGCAACGAATTTGCCTTGAATCAAGTTTTTGATGATTGGAACGCATCTGGGTCTGATAATTGCAGCAAGCAAGGAACAAAATATAACTATCGGCAAATAGTTATTCATATTTCGTGGAAGGTGTTCCTTCAAACAGTATATTCTTTCCAAATTAAACAAAAATATGCGGAAAAGATTTGGGCAGGCTATCATTTATGATTTTTCAATGCTGTGTCCAACCTTCTCTGTCCTTCTCATCAAGCCATGATGTTTCTGGTTTTTGGACCGAAGTATACCCCTGGTGTTTCTATCTTGCTCTTGGCCGTCCCTTACATTCCGCTCCTTGCATTCTCCTGTTAAACAGTTGTTTCGGTAACTTTCCCTCTTGAATCCTAACCACAAATCCTGCCCATTACAATCTCTAGATCTTGATGTACTTTGTGAGCATTGGCTCCTTATAGTAGCTGTTTTCTCGCCTATTAGGCCTACAATCCTTCTTAGGAGCTTCCTCCCGAAGATGTCTATGTGGAACTAAAATTAGAACTAAAACTAGAACTGAAGTGATTTCGAGGTCACTTCGAACCAGTTTTTGGAGAAGATTGCATCATGGCATCCGAAACGTCAAACCTTTTCTTAAAAGACACACGGCAAAACCCGAAAGTTTCTAGTGAAAGCCTTCGTGATGTCTATGTTATTTGCTAGTTTCTGAGTTTCTGGGATGTTGGTCTCACAGTCATGTGTCATTATTGCAAACTAACAGAAATTGTGTCATTATGGCAAAGTTAAACGACCACAGTACACAGTTAGACTAAGTAGTTGACCAATTCGTGTACCTAGGTGCTCTTATTACTAACACCGATGGCTGTAACGAAGATGTAAAAGAACACCTAGCTTTGGCTAAACCGACTAGAAATACCAAGGTGTTGAAACGTAGATATTAAAAAAGATGTACATACAAGAAAGCTTCTGAGATGTAGATGTACAGGCTGTTACTTAGAGTGTCATGGACGAGCCGCAGTACAAACACTTCAATATTGAAGGAACTAAAAGATAGATTGATCAAGCTGATTAATAGATCCTTTCGACTTTGGACACCTAGCGAGCCAAACCGGACTGATAGAGCTTCTTGATGTTGAGAGAGAAAATTAAGTGCAAAAGAGCGCGCGGAAGATCACTGATAAGATGGATAGACAGGTTGAAGAAACTGATGGAACACTCAATACACCAGACCATATAGATGACGCAAGACAGGGATGAATAGACAAGAACAGTAACACCTAATATCACCAAAACTCTCTCGAGGCTAGAAGGACTAAGGAGGAGGAAGATCCCCAGACTTGTTTCATCCTACCCCACCAACTTATTTGACGCATTTCGATGAACAGTAAAGTTTAATGATTCGATATTTAACTCCTTTCTTATACATATATGTATGGCACTGTCATCAATTCAACCACGAATAGAAAAACTGGTCAAAAATAAGCAGGTTGGGAAAATTGGGTTCGTTTTATATAAATGTTACCAATAGTCCCTAGTCCTAGTTACATTAAAAGTTCACTGCAACTGAATATGATACCGATCCGCAACACATTGGGACAAAAAATGCCAATCCGCTACATTAGATGATTTAGGAAGTACTGCTCTACATTATATGTAAGAATATATGCTGATTACCAGAACATTTCAACGCAAGCCAAAACGTCATAAATGGCATACCGTTGAACAGAATTTTTAAATCTGCATCCAACAGTTAAAGCGACATAATCGCTAGGTTGATACCACCTTGATACAAATTTGCACAGTTATTAAGAATATATGACTCAATCAAGCTGAAGTCGCTTGTGGTCGAGGCGCTAAATTGATACCACCTTGATGCAAACCTGCACAGTTTTCAACAATATATGATTTAATCAAGCCGAGGTCACTTGCGGCCGAGGCGCTAGCTTGATACCACCGTGATACAAATTTACACAGTTATCAAGAATATATGTATAACTTAATCAAGTTGAGGTCGCTTGCGGTCAAGGCGCCTATAATTTGTTCTTGTCTCAATTTGTAAGTACCCAGGTCTCACATCCTAAGGTAAGTATTGGTCTAATTATTTCGTATGTATTCAGTTTAGTTTCCTTCGATATCTCTTTTTTTTATTAATAAATAGACAGACTATAAAGATTTTCTGAAGAATACAACCTCAAAAATTCGTGTAACTCAAAATGTGAAGGACAGTAATTCAGATCAAAAAATAAACTTGAAAAATGGTATAACGAGCCAAAAACGCATTAATAAGGGGGCAAACCACAGCGAAACGTGATTAATGGAGGACCTACAAGATACACTAAGCAAAACATGGACACAATCTGCACCTTAGTTTGAACCTAACAATCTTGTGGTGAACGCGTCCAAGACTGAATCATTGAGTTTACTTTACGGGAAATTCTTCCAAATCTCACTCAGCCGGTTACTTGATTCCAAGCTAACGTGGGAGGCTCATGTGCTGCTCACTCTGCCCAGACTGAATGCTTGCAGAATCAAATTCTCTGAACTGACTATTCTGACTGTTCCGTGTATGAATGTCTACAATACATTAAAAATAATCCAACCTCATATCGTAAAGTAAACGATAAACACAATAATTATCAAACTAGAAATAATAACGATATTAAAATAAATTTTCCACGTACTGTGAGAGCTCGAGATAGCGTGAACCATTAGGCCTCCAAGCTGTTCAATGTGCTGCCCGAATGCATTTTGGCCTTTGATGCTAAACAGTTTAATCTAAAATAAGACTCTACCTTGGACTTAAAAGTTTCTATGGTATTGATGAATACCTCAAAAATAATTTCGATGACTTGGAGAACTTGCCGATGGTATTGCCATGGTTCCTTGTTTGTGATGTTTTTCTTTTTCGCCTAATTTCCGTATGAATTTAGTAATTTTTTTTGCTGTACTTTTGCCTTATGCTATATATACCATGTGACGAGTGTCTTTGTTAAGGACACAACAAAAAAATCTATTTATCTATCTAATCCACTGAACGGAAACGCAGGGGGATTATAGAAAAAGCTGGATGCGAATTTCTATGATTTGTTGGCTTGTTAATATTGGCAAAAGTTTACAAATTCCATAACGAAGGTATTCGACAAGACTACAATTTCCTAGTCTTTACGGTTTGATAATGCTGAATCATTTCTTTGAGTTATAGTTACTCACACTACAACATGTTCATGAAAATATAATTGTCGGCAAGCACCACATTCCATGGAATGTGAATTCCGTCAAATTGTATATTCCTTCCAAACCAAGAAAATATGGGATACAGATTTCGGCAAGCTGTCACTTATGATTCTTAAATTCTGAGATTCTCAATTTTTGCCTCCTGTCCATGCCTTGCTACGTCCAGTTTCTCGACCAAAGCATGACGTTTCTATCTAGTTCTTGACTGTCCTATAAATCGTGCTCCTTGCACTCTCCTATTACGAAGTTGCTCCTCCGCCATATATTACCAATGGGCTGTGGAAGACACTATAAGCACTGATATTGTGCTATCAATGCCGTCAGATATGACGACCAGTATTATTAATTATTATTAATGCTCGATATCAGATTGCACTGCCTGAACGTCAGTCCTAGATCGAAAACGAAAATTCTTTGGTTCAGGCAAATATTTGCATGTTCACAGATGGATCAAAAACGCCGAAAGGGGTCGGGGCAGGAGTATACTGCCAGATACTTCGAATTAAGAAAGCTGACAGCCTGGGTATGTACTATACTGTATTCCAGGCGGATGTATTTGCTATTGACATTGCAGATTATCTCCCAAAGGATCTAAATAACATTTCATCGAACAAGACATTAAGGTTCGTTAAGTGTACTGGACTGCACGTTGAAATTTGATAATGTTATCTATCATGGCACAATAGATCTTTGAGGTCGTGGTGCAAGGTTGGTTGGTCCGCCTAACCGATATATGATTTATGTAATGTAATGTTTTCCTCCTGCATCCTGACCACATATTCTACCCATTGTAGTCTCTGGATCTTGATGGACTCTGAGAACATTATATATTAAACTTCCAATTTTCCTTGGGATCTTCTTTTCGAGGACGTCTATCTTGTTTTCCAGTTTTTGAGTTAGCGTCCAGGTCTCATTGCCATAATATGGCATTAAATTTTAGTATTCTTTCCCGCATTTCCCTAACCTAACTACCATCCCTCGCCAGCTCCATTCTAAGATATTCGAATTGTAAGACAACCTCTATGTCATCTTCCATGTCATCACCAGCAACTCAGACTTAGTCTGCATCATTATTTTCGTTTTCTCTCTATTTCTTTTTAGCCTCTCCAGCTTCACCACGTCCTTGTTTCTTTTACATCCCTTCTTGTTAGGCTTAAGATGTTAAACTCGTCCGCAT